ACACTGGATGTTATTTATGTTGGAAAGAAGTCATAGAGTCCAACACATTGTACCTTCTCTTCCCTCGTATTGATAGCCTCTTTCGATTCTTGGAACCTGTTAACTTGTCAAGGGAGAGGGGGAAAATTTTGGGTCGACTAGAACTTACCCTTGAAAACCGACTTGCAAGGACAAGGTTATCTTAACCTATGAAGCACGGACACGTCCCTGAGGCTTGCGTATGAGTGTCGGACACATGTCGGACACGGACACGCGTCGGACACGCTGTGGACACGTGTCCAACACTCTCCCCTGCGTGTCCCCCTTTTTTTCAGAATTTTTCAGAGTCGGACACGAGGTTGAACACGCGAGGACACGATTCAGACACGCAGGTGGGTGGATCGAAGAAGCCCTAGAACTGTTGGAGAGGAGAAAGAGAGCCAGAGCCAGAGACAGATCGAGGGGTGCTTCTCTGTTCTTCTGCCTTCGTCTTCCTCTTCCTCTTCCTCTGTCTTCGTCTTCGCTTTGTCTTCGTCTTCCTCTTCTTCTGTCTTCGTCTTCGTCTTCCTCTTCTTCTGTCTTCGTCTTCTGTCTTCTATCTTCCTTCTTCCTTCGTCTCTCCTTCTGTCTCTTTCTCTTTCTTCTCTTCTCTTTGTCTGATTTCATTTACCCTCTCTCCATTCCACCCTTTTCTTTTTATTCTCTTTTTTCTTATTTTCTTTTATTTTTGTTAAAACCTACCACTACCATCTACTACCACCTACTCCACCTACTACACACCTACCACTACCACCTACTCCACCTACTACCTATGTTAAAATGTACCAAAACCTACCACTACACCTACTCCACCCACTTCACCTACTCTCCACCTACTCCTCACCTACTACACACTCACCCTCTCCTATATATAGGAATCATTGTAAACATAACAAAAAATCAATCAATAATACAATTCTCTATTTCTTTTTATACATCAATTTTAACAGTCGTGTCCCGTGTCCGTGTCCGTGCATCCTAGATCTTAACACTAACCCGACCCGTTTATTATTTCGTGTCATCGTATCGTGTCGTGTCATTTTCGATTCGTGTCCGATTTGTGGTGTTAACATGCCATGTCAAAAAATTTCATTATTAACTAAAAATATCAAATGTATGAAAACAATTTGAAAATTTATTCTCAAGTTAAATTTAATGAAACTAATCTCTATTAAATGAAATTATTAATAAAAAATATTTGATTTTAACTTAATTTGATTTTCTTAATTTATAGAAATTTTATTTTATTATTATATTTTTTACTAGATTAACTCAAATAAAAGACAAAAATACTTAAGTTCAATTAAAAGCAAAAACAAGACTTGTATTGAACTTAAGTTTGTATTTTACATACTTTTTAATAAATTGGATGTAATTACATAAGACACTAAAAATTGTCATGATACTCTTTAGTGAAAATAATATTAAAATGTGTAATTAATTCTTCATTATATGAGTTATCCGTATCGATATCGTGTTATAAAGATTTGACACTAACCCGACCTGTTTAATATTCGTGTTATCAGTTCGTGTCATATATGTATTCATGTTAAAAAATGGTCAACCCTAACCCGCTAATTTTGTTTACAGTTCGAGTTGTGTTATCATGTCGCAAATTCCCACCTGTACATACCATGATACCACCATGCTCTGCAGCCAACGTCTATGGCGGCCCACTCTATTGCACTGACCTGGTGGTAGCCCTTTCTCTTTTAGCGGCTTCATTCAACTAATTCAACACCTCAGCAGGCACTTTAGTCAAACCTATAGGTTGCCACCTCCGCGGCTTGAACTGTAAAGCTGCAGACCATCTGATCTCATACTCAGGTGAATCCGATCCCATTCTCAACGTGGTAGTTGCCTCTGATACCAAATGATACGAACCCCTTAGGTGTAGAACTCACCCTTTAAAACCAAGTTGCAAGGAGAGGGTGCCTAAGAGGCTAATATTGAATGCCAAACCTCTTGTGTTCCGATGTCGGATCGTAACATTTTTGTATGTCATTTCTTCTATGCTCAATTCTTTCAAGCTGACAGCTGATACTTGCTTCAAAAAATTTCTACTGTATTCCACACGTTATTTTGTAATTGTTGGATGTATGGTTATAACAAAAGAATGATCCGAACAGTAGTCTGTTGTATAACATTGCTTAGTGGATGTTGGACAAAGAATTTCTGTATTCTTTTTTATTAGAATGTTGTTGTTCTTGCTGTTGTATTCTACTATTGGCAGGCATAATTTTTCTAGATCTTACAAATGAAATATTATAAAATGATAATTGTCGGTGCAGTTCATGACTTCAGAGCACCAATATATATCTCGGAAGGATGAAGGAGATAGGATGATCATTTTTGAAAGAGGAAACTTGGTTTTCGTCTTTAATTTTCATTGGAATAACAGCTATTCAGACTATCGAGTAGGCTGCTTACATCCAGGAAAATATAAGGTAAGTTTATCCCAATGTTTCTCTCAGGTGTGTTTGCAATTTTATTGATTTTTCTCCCTTCTTCTCCAGATACCTCTATTTTAATTTAAAATTTTGTTTGAAGGAGTAACATAATAATTAGTATCTTTAACTATCTGCTTTATTATTTCTTGAATCCAATCATATATCTAGTTGATTTGACGAATTACATGATAAAACTTAAGAAATATGTAATCATTCTACATCCTGAGGATGTCTAATTAGTGTATCTAGTTAGAACATCTGTTTGGGGCCAGAAATGAAACTTGCATGGACATTTGCTTTTTTAAACAAAGCAATCGTCTGTCAATCCGTGCCTTGTGCTAGTTGTTGAGTTCAAAATGTTTAAATGCTCAGTGTTATTTCTTTTACTAGCATTGCTCTCTTCTAAATAATGTTGCACTTGATTTTCCGAGAATTCTTTATCCAAACTTTCTAGTAAAACAGTGCTGTATTGCCTTCTTTCAGATGGTATTGGATTCAGATGAGCTGTTGTTTGGAGGCTTCAATAGACTTCATCATAATGCAGAGTACTTCACCTTTGTAAGAATTTTTATTCCAACTCTTCTACCTGCACTGAATCCAGTTCTGTGATTGGATTCCGTGCACTTGAACATTTCCTTTGCTTTCAGGATGAAACCAATACCTAATTTTATGTGTAAAAGATGTTTTGAAATGACTTTCTAAGCTATAATAAATCCTTTTACCTGTGCAGGATGGGTGGTAACACGACCACCAGATTTGCCATCACCGGACACCTCATCCTAGTATATGCACCTTGTAGGACAGCTGTGGTCTATGCTCTGGTAGAGGATGAGTCCAAGTGCAAGCCCGAGCCCGAGCCCGAACCCGTGGAGGGCTGAACTCAAATAACGAAGGTAATTTGATCTAGTACTTCAATAATCATGGAGTTATGTTGCCATGATCAACAGCCCCAGCATCCCCAGATGGAACACCCTACACTGATGTGGGAAATGCAAAATTACAAATTTGGGCCGAGAGCAGCCATATATATAGGGGCATGTAGCAATTTATTTATCAATAGCATTTGGAAAATGTTTCTATGTATTTATTATCTTCCAAAATTATCTATGACTTTCATGGATATTAGTGAGACGTACAAGTTTAGGATGTGAAACAAAATGTTATATTGAAATACTTACTAATGATGGTGCATCTCAGCTGGTTGTGACAAATTTATTATTCCTCAATTTTGCTTATAAATAAAGGGAAATACTCTCTCTCTCTCTAATTATTTTCTCTACGAACTTATGCCATCTTTCTCCTGTAGGACGGAACAAAAGGGTTACCACTTGTCTGAGTGTTGCCACAATTGCAAAAAGCATACCGACATAGAACAACTTGCATTGATCTTGAATATGTGAAAGAGAAAGATAAGGAAAAAATAAATAAAATGAAGTAGAAGCAAATTTGTTACGGTTATGAAACTTTTTTTAAGATGGGTTGCGAAAATTAGATGAACTTCTGATTTTGCTTCTTTCCCTTTTCTTACTTTAAAAAAAGACGGAGGGGTGTTAAATTACATTAATCTTCTTTGAGTTTGGAGAAAATATAGCAAGTTTTACAATGTTAATGTAATGACTGACTTTTTTTGTAGCAAGGTTACAAAAGCCTAAATGAATGCATTATTTTTGTATTTATACAACTAACTAATTTAAGATAAAATAAATTAAGTGTTATTTGAATTTAAATTAAAAAAAATTCAATACAATTATATAAATCGTGTAAGATTTATTATATATATTATTTTTTTTTTTTTAAATCTCAAGAGAGCTCAACTTAATTTATCTATTAAAACAAAGAGGTTATGTCATTAAGAACATTTTTTTACACACATTCCTAAACCCTTCTACTGTTATTTTCATTTTTTTGTCGTTTACTATTTTGGGAGTAGATGAATGCAATGCAGATGTGGTTGGGTTGGAATGAATAGTACTACGGGCTCTCATCCTCGAAAGCAATGCTACACATCATGAAAAGAATATCATGAAAAGTTTTATGAAACAAATTCAAGGGTGATTGTATAACATACAATAAAATATTACAAACACTATAAACTAATCCAAGGGTGGAGATTCTTCATGAAGACTTTTCATGATACTTCTTTCATGATACCTAGTATTCTTGTTAAAAAAAGTTAAAAAGTCAAAAGTTATTAAAAAAAGTTTAAAAAGTTTTTATTATTCAAGGGTATTTGTCCTTTGAATTCAACTACCCAAAAAATTAAAAAGTCAAAAATAGTAAAATTGTCATTTTGATTTTATTATAATATTTTATTACACATCTTTTTATAAAAAGTTAAAAAATTATCCCAAACATACGTATTTTTTTTTTTACTTTTTTAATCAGGAAGTAAAAAAGTACACTTATATAGTACATCCCAAACAACTAAATTATTTCTCATCTTTTGAAATCATCTTACTAATATTAGTATAATATACATAATTTTTATAATCTTTTGACATCATCTTACTAATTACTAGATCCATCCTATCGTTTTTTTGAAACTTTTCTTTGGAGCAGAGGACGTCATAACAAGATTCAGGTGCTGACATAGCTCGTGGTCTCGGACATGGTCCCACGCTGCAACTGATGTAAAACGCTCGTTGGCGACGAATTAGAGGCCGTTGATGATCTCAATGCTTCGGCAAGCGGTCCGCCCATTGGGGCCACCGGGTTTGTCCCCCAACTTGCAGCCCAATTCAACTGAAGCCGCTCTCTTTCAACACTCACTTCTTGGTGGCCAGGCCTATCATCTCCATTGCCGGTGGACAGTTTCAGTGAAAAATCAGATGGTGGAGGATTGTTGGGAGTTGAAATGGAGAGGCAGGTGGATGAAGTAACTGGGCTTGCATTGGTCCCGGCATTGCTAGGTTGTTGGAGTGATCTGGGCCAGTCATCAAAGAAACAACGAAGAACACGACCACCAGATTTGCCATCACCGGACACCTCATTTTGGGTTTCAAATAGAGAGAGCTTGTTTTCAGGTTTTGATTCTGAGGGCCTACAAATGAACGTCAGGGTTACTAGAAATTTAAGCAAAGAACTAGGAGTAAATGACAAGAGCATCCTAAGAGCATCCCCACCAAAGTCCCTAAACCCCTTACCTGTTTTAAGGGGTAAATGACTCCTTATCCACCTGCATCATACCCTTAAATAATCCCCTAAGGGCTCGTTTGTTTTGGGAGATAGAATGGAGGGGATTGATAATGAGGGGATTAATAGTGATGGGATTGTTAGTGAGGGGCTTGATAGTGAGGGGATTAATAGTGAGGGGATTGATAGTGATAGGATTAATAGTGAGGAATTGTTAAATTATTTTTATATAAAATAATAAAACAAATAAAAAAATATAATTTTAAATTTATAATTAAAAATTATATTTTAATAAAATAAAGAAAAAATAAGGAGTTTGTTAACAGAATAAAGAAAGAATAGAGAGTAGAAAGAATAGAGAGTTTGTTAGGAGAAATAAATGAAAAAGTGATTCCTAAAATTGGAAATGAATTTTTTAATAATATTTTAGAGTAAAATTTAGGTAAATTGATGGGGATGCTCTAACAGAACCATTATATCCCCTCCTTGCCTATTTTAAGAGATTTGATGGCCCCTATACCCTTAGCTCCCTTAAACACTCCCTTAAAATAGAAATTGCCATCATATCTCCCTATTTGTAGGGAGGCACTGTAGCACCTTTATATTTTTTATTTATTTATTTTGCGTTGTTTAAGGACTGTAGTTTGGTGCAACTTATGGAGAGCTCATTACAACTATATTTTTTCAAAAAAAAAAAAAAAAAAAGTGTCCAAATGTTTGATGTAACTTTACTTACAACTTACGAGACAAAAAATAAATTGAAAAAAAAAAGTAGATTATTGAAAACCAGATAGAGAATTTTTTGTTAACTTCTACATTTTAACCAAACAGGCCAAAGCAAAACACTATTTTTTTGTTGTTTTTGTTGTAGGGACTCAAAAAGACATGGTTGGGGTCCGTCCATGGAGTGTGAAATAGTCTTATAACAGAGATTCCAAACGACTTTACGTCACTTAAAAATGGGTCCCTAGCAATGAGATATTAGTAATGAAGACCCTACCCCATTGAGATTCTAACAATCTTAAGTACAATCTTTTTAGCAAAGACCTATTTGTCAAATCCATGGTATTAAATAAAACAAAAAAATAAATTCAAATACAAGTTTTATACTTATTTCAGCTTGAGCTATTTTTTGAAGTCAATTTTGATAAAGTTATTTCACAAAGTTGCTTTTTGAAGTTAAGTTTGAATTTGTGTTTTGACGAGACAACCTTAAAAAAAAAAAAAACAAAATTACAATAAGTTAATTAAAATGGTATTTCATTAAACTTTAAAAAACAACCAAAATAAGTGCAAAACAACTAGCATTTGAAAATTTTGTTTCAAAACAACATGAATTTGGTAAACAAACTCCACAAATACGGATTGTGAACATTTTTGGAAAAACAGAAAACAAAAAAAAATTACTGTGTACCATTTTGAAAGGATTAAAAAATAACAAGCTGAATTTATGCCAATTGATGGGTTGAATAATTAAATCAATTTCTTCTTTCTCTATTTCATGATCAATGACCAAGGTTTTATTCACTTTTTCCCTTTGGACAAGCAATTCAACAATAGATAGAAAATTCAAAAAAAAAAAAAAAAAAACTCCATCTTGATAGGGAGGAAAGAGACTATACCTTTGATTGAGGTGGAGGAGATCAATGGAAGGGGAAGGTCCTGCAAGATTGAAATGGGTAGTCCCACCAGTACCCATTGATGTCCGGGGCTGGGCAGCAAAGGCAGTGTTGGTTTTGATGACTCCGCCACCACCACCACTAGAACCACCACCAGCAGTAGATGTGGATGAGGAGGGTGTGGGGATTTCCACAGGCTTTCTTGAACGGTTGCGGCCACGGTTCATGTGGCGCTCGCAATACTTGTGGCCAGTCACCACATCCCTTGAGCACCTCCACTTCTTGCCATCGGTCCTCCTGCACCGCCCCGGCTCCGGATCCATGCCTCCTCTTCCCCAATACCCTGTTTGCAATACTGTTTTTTGAACATGTTCAAAAGTTGAAACACAACTACATCAAATCACAAACACTCCAATACATAAGCATACATACACACATACACACCAAAAAAAAATGTACATACAAATTAATACAAGGCAATGATATCAAGACAAAAAAAAAAATCTGATATCTGAAATTAAAACAATGCAAACTACACGTCACGATCTGGGATAAAATTTCTTCATATATATGCTATATTTTTTCTGGATAACTATCATTTCTGCTGAAATTAATAGAGCCCCAAATAAAGAATCAATTCAAGCAGATACAGGGTTTTAGTACCAAAAATCAGGTAAAACTTTGGTAAGAAATATAAATATCAGTCATCATCAGTGGGTCACTAATGGAGAGTGTAGCCTTAAAAATCACCAACAACAAATGACAAGGAAAAGACAAAAATAATAGCAATAATAGCAATAATTATGCACAAAGTACATCTGGTAACAAAGAAAAAAAAAACGAGAATAAATTTCACTTGAATCAGATCATCAAGATTTCATCAAGAAAGACAAACCCAAATGAGATTTTAACTCCATCAGACAACACATCTATATCTATGAAGCATTCAGACATATGAAATAACTTTGATTGGCAAATAAGAAAATATAGTGAAAACAAAAACAATCTTCATGAACAAGAAAATGATTGACAAAGTAGTACAAGGGAAGGAAATGAGAACTTACAAGTAGGATTATAATGGGGAAAATGTTGAAGAGAGTAATATGAAGGAGGAGTAGGAGTTGGAGGAGGAGAGAGGAGGGTTTTGTTGAGTAGATGGAGAAGTTGAGGAGGAACACAAGAACCTGCCAACATGTGCCTGAATATCAATGCCTGCAGCTCAAGCTCCTGCCACTGACCCAAGCTGAAGTAACTTCCCATCTCTAAAACAAAAAACAAATAACAAAAAAATGCAAATAAAACCCACAAACAGAAAGAAAGTAAATTCATGAAGCTAAAAGTCATTGATAGACTTAGAAGCAAACCAACCCAGAAAGTTCGCACTTTCTGAAGAACTGTCACAAATAGATGAGAAAAGAAGCAAAAACAAGAAGGAAGCATGTGTGTGTGTGTGTGTGTGTGTGGGAGAGAGAGAGAGAGAGAGAGAGAGAGAGAGAGAGGACTTACTGGGAAATCTGGAAGCAGTGGTTGAATCAGGTGGGAAAACTGACAAGTGGGTGAGTTTGCTGGTGAGTTCAGGATGAGACCCAGATGGCTGTTGATGTTGTTGTAGGTCTGACTCATGCTGCTGGTATTTCCATTGCTTCAGATTGAAGTCCATGAAGAGAGAGAGAGACTAATGTGCTTTTTTGTTTCTGGTTGATTTTTTAATGTGCTTTTTTGTTTGGTGGGGTGTGTTGGGTATGTTTTACTAGTAGAGTTTCCAAAAAGCTTTTTGGAGAGACTTGTGTGGGTGGACTCCTTGTATCTTTTGGGCAGTGAAGAGAGAGAGAGAGAGAGAGAGAGAGCGCCTGCTGCTGAGTTTGTTTGTGGGCAGTGGAGAAGTCAGGGGGCACTTGAGAAAAGACAGTCAGACAAGACAGTTGAGAGATTAAAAAAAGTATAGAAAAGTAAAATTAAAAATTTTGGAGAGAGAAAGAAAAAGACGTGAGAAGTAACCTGCAGGCTGCAGGCTGCAGACTGTCTGTCTCTGTGCTTTGGAAACAGAACAAGAGAGAGAGCAGTGGTTATGTTATTATTAGATGAGGTCTCGTTTGGGCAAGAATTCTCTCATTGCATTCTTTACTTATCCCTTTCTTGCCATGGTCCTATTTGTTGTTGTTAAAACAATTTATAAATTATAACTTAACAGATTATAAATTATGAGTTTAATCAGAAGTTATTAATTTATTTAGGGTAATTATTAGATTATAAATTTAAGTTACTGAGTAACGTTTGTTAAATAAGTTGTGAAATAGCTTTTTTAATTAATTTTTATTTTTATTTGTCTACATTTCTCATAAAAAATAATAATAATAATCTATAGTTCATTTGAGTCTTTTTCTATTTTTAAAAAAATAAAAAATAAAAAAATTTAAGAGTATAACCATAAATTAACATGTCCACAACAGAGCTGATAATTAGAAGTAAAGGGTGAGCAGCTTCTCAGAATCAGCTTTTTTGAGTTAAAATAAGCTGTTAGAATCAGAAGCTGTTTGAAATAAGTTTAACCAAACAGTTCAAAATAACTTTTTCAAAACTAAAAGCCATAAGTTGACACTGAAAAGCTGAAACAAACACCCCCAATGCTTCGTATGAGAATTCAACCGTCTAGATTATTTTATTAAAAAGGATTAAAAATTAGAAAGCAAGGCTTTGTTTGGAACAATTTTGAAAATAATTTTCTATTGATACATTCTAACTTCGTGTTTATTTACAGTTTTTAAAACACATTTTCATATCCGCGTTTGAAAAATCGTGTACTTGGATGTCTCTCGGACGTCCGGTCGGATGACCGAAACAGTATTCTTAAATTTATTTATTTATTTATTTTTGCACTTATTATTTTTATATGTTAAATAAAATATATTTTTATTTTTTAAAAATTTTTTATGAGCTTTGAATAGAATTTTGAATTGTATTTGGTTATGAATTGTAAATTTTTGTATAAAAATTATGTCACATCACGCAATTCAAAAACTCTTTTCAAAACTCATTCACCAAACAAATTTTCTATACTCAAATTATAATTTCAAAACTCACAAACTCATAATCAGCTTTTTGGTTAAAAACTAATTATAAACTTATTATAATCAACTTTTTGTGAGAAAGGGAAGTGGGTTATAATCTGGGAAGTGGATTATAACCCACTTCCCAAAAGACCCCAAAATACAACTCATATTATGAAATTATATTTACAAAACTCTACCAAACGCAACCTAATATTTTTGGATTGATTTGGATCATTAAATTCTTTTAAAGTTAATCTTGCCCGTTGTAAGGAGGGAACCAAATAGAGAAGGCCAGGAGAGAATTCTTACTCCTTGTGTCGTGTTATTTTAATAATTTTTAGTTTAAAAAATATATAAAAAAAAATAAAAAGAATAATATGATAATTTATAATAATTTTTTAACTCCTTTGTTAAAATTAAAAGTTGTCAAATGAGGCCAAGTGTTGGGTTTGTCGAAGGAGAAAGAGAAGCCTAAACCCTTCATATTTGGTGCATAAGAGAGTCTTTAACGTTTAATTTTTTTCTTTTATCAAGTTTAAATTTGATAAAAAAACAAAGTAGACTTTTATTGTTCTAACATTTACATCAAACTAGTATTAAATTCAAGATATCTTAAATTTTTTTATCAAATAGAGGATGGGTGTGCCTTTCATCAATTTATTGTATATATAGTCATTAGAGATGCTGAGCATACACCATCTCTAGACGACTGGCCGATTGTCTCTCCGATAGACCACCTCATTGTAAAAATTTGTTCCAATATCTGAAAAAATGACACTGACTGGTTGACTGACTGGACATTCCCCGATCATCCTCTTGGTCGACCAATGGCTTGATAAAATCTCAGATTATTCTATTAAAACGCGCAATATCAAATAAAATTTTTATTCAAATTTGATTAAAAAAAAAAATATTAAACGTTTGAGATACTCTAAAATGTTGTTTGGCATTATGTATATATTAGCATATTTTTTAAATTTTTTTATCAAATTATTTTTTATTTTTTACATACTTTTATTTTTTAAATTTTTTTATCAAATTATTTTTTATTTTTTACATACTTTTTTTTATAAAAAATTTAAAAGTATATTTATTTAGATAATAACTAGCATATCATCCGTACTATGCATGGGATAAAATAATATATTGTTTATTAAAAATATAATAATTATATTTAATTTTTATATATTTTGTCTCTCATAATTAAAATTTTATATATAAATTTTAAAATTTTGTTTCAAATGTTTCTTTATTATGATATATAGTGTAGATAGATTAAAATTGTTGTATTGACAATTAATAATTAAAATTATGCTTTGTTATAAAAAAAAATGGTATAGTTCCAATACTTCACTATTTTAGAATAAAAATATATGAATTTTAAAAATTATCATATTGGTTTTTGAAAGGGAAATAATTTAAGAAATTTTAAAAACTTAATGAGTAAGAAATAATTACCGTAACATGCAAAATCACTAAAATCACGGTTAAACCGGCAAATCATTCAAACAAAAAATGGTTTAGCTTAATCAGTTAGGTCAAAAGACTAATCAACTTACACAAAATCTAATTAATTAAAACTTTTAAACATTGTTTTATTAAAATTTAAAATGTCACTAAATATGGAAAACAATCTATTAATTTAAATTTAAAATCGACACAATATAAATTTAAAATTATAATAATCTATCTCATAATTTATAAGTTTTAAATACAAATTTAAAATTATTATAATTACCTTATAATTTTTGTATTAAAGAGCAGTAAGAGTGACATTGAAACATATTGAATTGAAACATTAATTAAAACTTTAGTAATTAATTATTTTAAAATTATCATTTTTATTAATTAATTAATTGTAATTATCTCATTATTAATTAATTAAAACTTTTAAATTTTAATTATATTGAATTGAAGCATACACAACACTACAATATTAAATGGAATGAGAGTATAAGATTTATTTTATATGAGTAAAATAACTCTTTTTTTTCTATGTGAGATTATCAAATAAAAGTTAGTCTGTAGAGATTTTTTTAATTATTTAAAATTAAGAAAATTAAGAAAATTTATATGAGATGTTAAAACTCTCACATGGCTTCTCACTAAATAGAATGTGAGTATAAGATTTACTTTATATAAGTAAAATAATTCTTTTTTTCCCTTTATTTTCTCAATGTGAGATTATCAAATAAAAGTATAAAATCACTAAAATCGCAGTTAAACTAACGAATCAATGAAATCAAAAATGATTTAGCCTAATCAGCTACGTTATAATTAATTAATTAAAACTTTTTAAATTTAAATTATATTGAATTGAAAAATATAGAATATAATATTAAATGGGATGGGAATATAAGATTCACCTTATATGAGTAAAATATTTTATTTTATTTTTTTGTTATTTTCTCGATGTGGGATTATCAAATAAAATCTAGCCAATGAAAATTTTCTTAATTGTTTAAAATTAAGAAAATCAAAAAAATTAATATGAGATATTGAAATTTTCACAAGGCTCCTCACTAAATGGAATAAAAGTGTAAGATTTACTTTACATGAGTAAAACAACTCATTTTTTTCCAATGTGAGATTATCAAATAAAAGTTAGCCAATGAAAATTTTCTTAATTGTTTAAAATTAAGAAAATTAAAATGAAAATTTAGAACTCCTAAAAGACTTCTCACTAAAAACTTCATTTTCTTTATGCCTGTTTGGTGCAGCTTAAAAGCTACTTATTTCAGTTTTCAGCTTAATTTAAGTTATTTTGATGTGTTTGGTTTAGCTTAACAATGCAGTTTATAGCTTTTTGTAAGTCATAAATCAGTTTATTCTTTGAGTGGGCCAGGAGATGCTTAATTTATAAGTCAGAAATCAGCTTATGTTCATAGTTATAAGCTATAAGCTGTTTTGGCATAATCTATAAACACTTCTCCACAGCTCTACCAAACAGGGCCTTTATGCCTATATGTTTGGGAGGTTGGGTTTGAATTTTTTTTTTTTTGGCTAAAATAGTCACAAAAAACAAAATAAAGTTTTTAACCAAATAAGACAAAACATCATATTCAACCTATAATTATTACATTATATCTCTCACAAAAAAGTCAAAAGTCATTCCAAAATCAAGTTTTTTAACTCCAAACTAAAATAGTTAAAAAATTAAAAAGTCGAAAAACCAACCTATAGCGACCCCAGTCTTTTCTCTTTAAATTATTGGGCAAATTACATATACACCCCTCGAGGTTTGGCTAAATTACAGATGCCCCCCTGAGGTTTGAGAAATTACGAATTCCCCCCTGAATGCTATATTTGCATAAGAAATTAGGGGGTAATTTGTTATGAAATATAAACCTCAGGGGGCAAATTGTTATGAAAATACAAACCTCAGGGGGCGGGATGTAATTTCCGAAACCTCAGGGAGGTATCTGTAATTTAGCCAAACCTCGAGGGGTGTATATGTAATTTGCCCTAAATTATTGTATCCGGACTTAGGTTCCGTGGATCCTGTCATTACTTATTGGTTGTCGTTGTCCTTTAATCTCTTTGTATTTGAAGTATAGGTTGGGTTGGACGGGTCTGTTACAGGTTGGTTGATTTTAGATGCCAATAGGTGATGCCCAGATTTTGGCCTTTACGCTCGAACGGAAGTTTTAACGCTCGAGCGGTCCCTTCGTTGTTGCTTCTCCGCTCGAGCGGTACTTTTGACGCTCGAGCGTGATTTTCCATCTCCCAGTATTTTGCTCTGCAGTTCTTCCGCTCGAGCGGTAGTTTTTACGCTCGAGCGTGATCCCTTGTTTTTGCTCCTC